AAGGTGCATAGTTTCGGGAGTTCTTCATTGGCCTTCGGCAGTCCGCGGACAGTTCTCACAACTTCCCGTGAACCAAGGTTGGTCCAAGTGTCTGAACCCATGGAATTGCAGTGTGCTTTCGGGTAACGACAGTGAAGCACTGTCGAATAAGGTCCAAATCTCAGGGAAATTTAGTCAGGTGAGAAACACATCAGGAGGTGGATCACTATCTTGTAGACCCCTTTGGGCTGTCGCGGCAGATTGCGTTCTGCCTGTGCAGCCTTTCCCGCAGTAAGCACATCCAGCTCCACAGCACCAGGGCCATATCTCTTACCTCCCAAGGAAACACAGTCCGTCGTTCCCTCTGTCGCATAAAACGCTAGCTATTGTGCCTGGGTCACTCCAGGTCGGATCCGAGGAAGTGAAGTGTCTTGGACCCACAGACACAGTGAAATATCTGGGTCTGCGGTTCAACTGGAAAGGGAGGTTGAAGACGAACACTGGTAGGGTATTTCAAGATATGCTAGTTAATATATCCAAAGCTCCGTTGAAGCCATACCAGATGTTAGAGATACTCAAAGAGTTTGCGACATCGCGCCTGCAGTATGAACTAGTTCTCGGCAGTGCGCACAGGAACACTCTGAAAGCGCTTGACGTGGCGGCTCGCCACGCAGTGAGAGCATGGTTACGGTTGCCCAAGGATACCCCCTTGGGTCTCTTCTACGCGAAGGTGAAAGACGGGGGGTTGGGACTAACGTCGTTCGCGACAACAATCCCGCTCCTTCAGACCCTTGGACCAACCTTGGTTCACGGGAAGTTGGGAGAACTGTCCACGGACTGCCGAAGGCCTTTGAAGAACGGATGAAACTCTGCAACTCTCCAACACACACGCACGTCCTCCCCCCTCTTTCATAAAGAGTTGACGATTGTAATGACATTGATCCAAAATAAACTGTTAACTAGCCAAATGCCTCGTCATCTAGTTAGTGACGCGCATGAATGGATTAACGAGATTCCTACTGTCCCTATCTACTATCTACTACTACTATCTAGCGGGAGTAACTATGACTCTCTTAACCGGGGGGCATGGTTACATGGTCTGATTACCTCCTCGTGGTTCCCGCCGCGGTCAGAAGGGTGAGCCCTGAAAAGCGTTGATCCCTTCTCAGCTAAACTTCAGACCACCCGTCAGGGGCCGACCACCCTTGTCGGGATTTCCACTTGGTTATGAAACCTATTTCTGATATTACTCCCGGTACAACCACGAGTGCCGGTCACCAAGTGGAGGATCTTCACAGCCGGACTGATCCACCGGTGAGTACAGAGCTGGGATTACACGACAGTAATAGGGGCGTTAGTAGGGTTGTTTGTGATCTATGCGGGTTGTCTTATAAGTCCGCTAGGGGCCTCGGACAGCACAAGCGTCATAGGCACCCGATCGCACTGAACGATGAGAGATTGAAACTTCTCCCACGTAGGAGAGGCGAATGGAGTGAGTTTGAGTCGGCAAAACTTGTACAGTTAGCGACCTCCCAAGGAAACACAGTCCGTCGTTCCCCCTGTCGCACGAGCGCCTCCGGCAGGCTCACTCTCATCCCGTCCAGCATCCGGTTCCCCAAGATCAACCAGGGTAAATGGGAGGTTCATCTTATTTCTGTCACTCTTGAGGTCGCGTACCATGGCCAAGTTCATTCACAGTCATGGGATTCGATCGGTCATGCAACGTTCCAAGAAGGCATTCGGGGTGCATAAGGGTTCCGTAGTGTGAGATCCAATCGAAGGTCAAGGGCCGATGACATTGATCAGGGCCGTTAGACTTGCACAGAGTTTCTTCCCAGTCATCATGGAATCGCGTCCGTCTGGTTTCCGTGGTCCACCGTCATTGGTCCGAAAGATATCTAGGTTGAGGGTTGGGAAAAGAGAGAATGCGTGCGCAGTATTTGTTAAAAAAAAACATGTGTATAAAACCAACCAAACAGAGCTAAAAACAAAAAGAGATTCAGGCCCTAGAGGGGTCCTACAGGACCACCTAATTTCCTCTCATGTAGACATCATTGCAGGCTAAGGAGCCCCGAGTCACAAGCAGGCAGAGAACCGACAATTCTTTCGTGGTAAGGCATAAGGATGTCAGACCGATACCGGAGCGTTCGCACAACAGCCCCCGATCCGTAAACACAACCGGGAGATGCCTAACATCCCCGAGGGATCGTCCGAAGAGTTTCGACTGGATATAGGTTTCTACCTCCCTCAAACCATACTTCGCCGTCTTGAGAGTCCAGCTCTCGGCCAACCGTTGACCTCGAGCCACGGTCACATGATGAACGTAAGCATGCTCTCCATGCCGAACGACTAAGTCCGGTTTGCAGAAAGTTCTACCTACCGGAATAATCGGCTCGGTAATGACTTCATACCCTCTTCGGGAAAGCCTCCCGGCTAGATTTTGCACCACCCGGTTATGTCTGGCACATCGGGCGTCGTGCGTAACCTGACATCTCTGCAAGATGTGGCTCAGAGTCTCAGCTGCGCCACAACGCCCCCGACACAGCAAGTCGCCAATGGCGACCGATCGACCCTTAGCATTTCTTACATTTGAGGCCAGGATACATGCATGGAGATGAATACCCCGTATGAAAAACCGTGGCAGGACAATCCCTGGGTTTGCCAGCCAGTCAAAACGTGCACGGTCAACAGAGTCTGTGACCAGCTCCCTCCCGTCTACACTTGACTTCAAGTTTGCTCGCCAAACCTTTGACGCCTCGTCTGCCGAACTTACCAGTGTCCCTTTCGCACGCCCGGGAATATACGCCAATCTTTGGTCTGAAACCACATTCTCAGCCTTAAGAGGGCCTCGTACTACCGGAACGGGAGAGCTTGCAATACGCTGAAACTTCTTCCTTTGAAGGGGAGGGATTGTTGTCGCGAATGACATTAGTCTCAGCCCCCAAGCTCTAACTTTCGCATAGAAGAAACCCAACGGGGTGTCCTTGGGCAACCGCAACCATGCCCTCACCGCGTGCAATGTCCAACGCTTTCAGGGTATTCCCGTGCGCACTGCCGAGAACCAGTTCATACTGCAGGTGCGGGTTTGTAAAATCTTTGAGTATCACCGGCTTCTGGTGAGGCTTCAGCGGAGCCTTGGATATATTTACTAGCATATCCTCAAGGATCTTTCCAGCGTTCGCTCTCAATCTTCCTTTCCAATTCAACCGCAGACCCAGGTATTTCACTGTGTCCGTGGTCCCAGACATTTAACTTCCTCAGATCCAACCTGGAGTGACCCAGGCACAATTGCTAGCGTTTTACGCTTGCCAGACTTCTCCACAACCATAGCTGCGCTTTGCGCTATTCAGATCCATACCAGCAGCTGCTAGGGCTGAGGCTAACCCTTCCAATTTATCCTCCAACTCGGAACGAGAAGGAGCCAGCAATACTAAGTCATCGGCGTACGCTAGCGCCCCAATTCTTGTGCCTTCTAAGTTGTAGCCGAGCTCTGGACGGCATTGCTCAACCACCTTATCCAGTACCATCATAAATAAGAGGGAAGATAGGGGATCACCCTGCCGCGCACCACGCTTGGACTTTACGTTCCCACCGGTCAGGTTGACAACACCATCGGAGTATAGGTGTCTCAGATATCGTACAAGGGGCATAGGAGTTCCATGTGCCTGGGTCACCCGTAGGGTTGTATCCTGGGAAAGCCTATCAAAAGCTTTCGAGATATCCAAAAAGGCCGCCGCTATCGGCCGAACCGTCTCATGTACCGAGTGCAATATGGCGTTTAGCAGACTCGAGGCTTCAAGTCATCCGTCGCGTTTTTGAAAAGCCAACGGCAAAATGAGCAGCCTATGCAGCAACCTCAGGACGACCGAAGAAATGGCAATGGGTCGGTAGTCCCCCGGGGACGCTGGGGACACTGTTTTAGGAATCAGTGAGATCCTCGCCCTCGAGAGGGTTCTGGGTGGAAGCTCGGTCACCAAAAATAGATTCAGCAACTGGGCTAGAATAATCGGGTTCCACGTGAGCAGTTCCCGGGCATCCTTTTTATCCATCCCAGGTGAAGACCCCACCGACTCCTTCAANATAGCGACGATAATGTTTGTAGGCAAGTAGAAGAACCAGTCATCCTACCTTCCTCATCTCAAGCCACTGCAGGATATTAGTGCACAGGTGATGATAGCCATAATTCGAATCAGAAGGTGAATGTGCACTAATAAAAGCTTTTAGTATTTCTGCGATACGTATAAAAATGAATACAGTGCGAAATGCGAGCAAGTCAAAAGGGGAACTTATCGGATGTGAGAGTCCCTTGGTGGAAGTCCGGACGGCGGGAACGTGTTTTTCTCCGCAGTTAGACTGCTACACGTACTCCATGGTTGTCCGTGGACTTGTGGAGAGGTTGACGTCCTGCTCCCTGCGCGCGCGCGAGTCTGTGTCTTTACTGGGTTTGGTTTCTCTTTATGTAGGTCCCAGTGCGTAAACGTGGGCGCGTCGGCACATGATTGGCCGCTACGCTGACTAGGCGGTGCAGACAATCGATGTCCGATGAAACAGCTTAATGCGACATGTTTGTGCGTATGAAAAAAAGACAAGCCTCGCGATCCAGTGAGCGACTGTGAGTTGAACAGTCAAGTGTGTGGGTGACTGGGTCGCTACACAGGACTTAAACGCTTACTTGATCTGAGTATGTTGTGTTACCGGCCAAGGTGTTTTTCTTTCTTAACCAACCTATACATCGTTCTAGTCCAATCCCTACCCCGGATTACTCTACCAGCTCTGTCTTATGAGTGATGCTGTCGGTTAAACTCTAACCGACAAGAACGAAACAAAATCCAGCTTTTCCTCACTACAATAGCACATTATACACCGATGTATTTACATCGAATCCCCATGATGATTTGCTCCACAGTTCACTAAACACACACACACACAACATCGCGGTACGCTTCTGCCAGACATGGTAGCTCACAACAACGTTCAGGCTCCGGTCAGCCATAGTGCGCTCGTACTGTCACTTTGCATGGTAGCTCACACCAACGTTCAGGCTCCGGTCAGCCATAGTGCGCTCGTACTGAATGTCACTTTGCCGTCCCCACTGTCACATTGGCAACTGTCGTTTCACCGCCTTCTCCGCGACCTGCCTCTACCAGCGACTGTTTGCTGTCTGCTTGACCGAATTGATTGAGCTGTTTTACTAGCCTTGCTTTCCCCGACCGAAAAAAACTGGTAACTGGAGTAGTCTATTAATGCACAAAACCGCACTTTGACTGCTTGGACGGTTTTCCACCTTGCCGATCTGGTAGCATGCACGAGGGATGAAAACCTCGTGTGGTGGATGGGTACGCCCTGCAGAGAGGGTCGCTCTGTTACGTTGCACCAGCGATCACGCGACTTGCGGCGTAATCATCATCTGATTGGTTGACACCTAGATGGCAGGAACATTCAAAAGTGGCAACATGGCGGATTTGCGGTTTATGATTGACTCTCTCGTACGAAGCCTAGAATTTCGGTGCGGTTGTATCTTTAAAAAATTTACATCGTCAACAGATTTTGAAATATAATAAACGCAAACAGTATGGGATTCTCTGTAGTTTTAGATAACTTTGTTGTAAATAATGCGATCCTATATTTTGTTCTGAAAGTTAACCATATCTCTAAAGGAAGATGATATTTGGGATTGCTGGCGGTAACAAAAAGTAATTAGTCAGAACAGCCCAGATTTAGCAGCTGACGCTGGTGCATTGGCTGCTTGCAACCAGTATCGTTCACATATTATGAGTTATTCGTTTGAATTAAAGTAATAGCCTACATGCAATAGTATATGTTCCCCTCAATGAATCCATTCAAGGCCATGTATCCCTGAACTTGTGTTCGGCAGCTAAGGCACCCGATATATTCATTGACTGCCCTAGGTGAAAGACCGGGTGTTTTCATGGACAGCCCCAACTTTGGTATACAATGAAGGAACTATCGGTGCGTCCTTCGGAGCCAACGGACCAACGATAGTGTCTGTGGTTAGGCCAGAGCTGCTGCTCTGAGTACTAATCATCTGAGCACACAGAATAATATAAGCAGCTGCTGACGTATTTAGTGAGTAATGAACGCTAAGCTTTGAATACCACTATCGCCACAACCTGCTGATGCGACTTTCGACGACACATATCAGCTGTACCTAAAGCAACAGGAACTTATGATACAACTGTAGTTTTTGAACCCTAAAACTCAGTTGTGGCTGGAAATCACTCTCTCCGTTTTCGTTAGCGACTCCACATACTATGTAACAACAGACGGTGCACCCCCGTCATAGAATCTTCGGATTGAATATTTGTCGATTGCGTAACTAGTAACTCCGTTACGTGAAACACCCATGAAGCGCAATACGTGTTTCAGGCACAGTTAGGCTGCCGGGCTATTGTACACACTGCTAGACGTATGCTGTTAGAGGTGACCCTATATTGTCCCAGAAGGTTTCGGGACCACTCTGAGGCTATAGACAAAACCGAAAAATTACGCCCCCTTTCCTCACCTACGCAAGCTGGTCTTCAACTGAAGGCCTGAATGCCTTGGTTGCCGTGACGCTTGCGTTGTCGGGAAATAAGAAACCAAGTTTAGGAAAACAGTTTTATTATGACTGATTGCCAACAAATAACAGAACCATTAAAAATGTGTTCCACGGTTGTGCCTGGAAAGTAAATGGGGAAAGAATTAGTACAAGGCAACGGAATGGAAACGGCCAGAGGTGGGGATGGATTTTAAGGCAGAAAAACCCACCCACTTCACACACCTGCGTGTAGTAGCATAAGAGAAGCTAAGTTGAATTTGCCTGAACTGAATCACCATACTTTGCAAGCAAACCACGCAGACGAACGGAAGCAAGAGAGAGAACATCCAAACTCCCATCATCACAAACAAACAGCCATGGGTCCAAATGGGCGCGCCGGATCTCGGATACCCTGCAGATTACATACAGGATAGTCCAAGCGGCGTAGTTTGTCGCGCAGGACCCGCACACCATCACCGGTCTAGTCTACTCAATAGTTCATCCGGACATAGACACGGATTTCCCTGGATGACTTAAAATATCGCAACAATCCATACACAACTCGCTCCTGCTGAGCATTCACACGTCGGTTCGCAGCATACACTTGGCAATCGGACGTACGCAGGTCATGCGAGTGTTGCATATATAAAAACTAATTACTACAAGGCGACTGTCTCGGTGAACGACAAGCATGAACGATCGGCAGTCAAAATCAGCATACCTAAATGTAGGTTATTTGCATGATTGTGCGCAAAAACATCAACTTACCGACGACCATTATGATCAGCATTCCAGTGAGAAAGCACTTCACTGACATTCTGTTCGTCCGAGGACATATCCTGTGAACCTACATAACATTCTACCACATTTAACCATCAACCTGGCCGTACCGTCGTTGCAACCGTGGTGGCGGCGTCCTGCACGCCGTGGGCACCCGGACCGCAAGAGGAGCAAGCGAGGAATGACCATTTGTAGCTCGGCACCAGTTTATATACCAGCCTGACTTTGGCCTTCATAGACCAGCTGCCCGGTCCAGACCGCAAGTCGCCGACTCTGCGTTGCACCATGGTGCGTTCGTATACCCACTACCCCTCCGTTAGCACGGGTGCATCGCCCATCGCCAGTGGCCTTTAAATTCGGGAAATAAAAAAAGAGCACTGCTGTTTTCTGATTGTTGCCACTGGTGTTGGCCTCGCTTTGGTTGAGCTATTTGGCAACGCCATAAACAATAACAAAAACTGGCCTTTTCGCCTGTCCAAAAGTATTCAACAAGAAATCAATATACCTGGGATAGCCGGAAGAAACTCTGCGATGCCTATGGCCAAAGTCGACGTGCATAGCTGTAGCTACCTTCGTCAATATCGAGGCTACACCGCACCAAAACCTACCTCGTCAACCAATCAATTAGACAAACTGAATTTGCTGCTCCCAGGAGTGGACACATACAACATATAAACATACAGTTAGACACCCGACTCTCCACTATCAACATCCGAGGATAGCACCGGAAGTCTTCTTCGTCACGCACCACTCACTGATTAAAGCTGATGGTAGTGCTCCGGGGACTGGTGACCTACCCCCTCGCATCCACCTTCCTTCCTAGATCGCCCTAGTATCGTCCATCTCACTAACATCTCCAGGAATTTACGCCCCCAGTCGTCACGAGTTTGGTTTACCCTCACCACACCGCCTCTTAGCCCACATGCAGTA